GTACAAAATAAAATAAATTTAAAAAACAAACAAACAAACAAACAAACAAACAAACAAACAAAAAAACAACCCCGATTTCCTGTCCTTTCCAACAGCCCATCAGTCGGCTTCCCTGGACAACCTCAGCCTTCAGCCAGGGGAAGGACTCGTCTTCCAGATCTCTGTATCATCCTGGCCGGTCGTCGGATAGACCCCATGACGTCACACCAGCTGGTTGTTTTGATGGACCCCACATGACGTCACATCAACTGAGTGTTTTGAAAGACCTCATGGCATCACACCAACTGATTTGTTGTGATGGATCCCATAACCTGTCCCCGTGGTTTTATGCACCCTGCATAATTTAGCAAAATTTGATCATTTTTTGGGGCATAATTTCTGATTATTTTCCTTTATCATTCTTTGTTTAAAAAAAAACAAAACAGAATTGCATAATTTCACATTTTTGGGCTCAGTTTGCATAATTTCAGAATTTTTCTTTCATAAAAGGACGGGGACAGCATAACGTCACACCATCGGATTGTTTTGAACGATCTCATTACGTCACATGAGCTGATTGTTTTGATTGATCATATAACGTCACACCCGTTGATTTCTTTGATCTCATGTTCCTTTTTGTTAATTTGTAGCCTCTTTAAATAAACCAGTCATGAAATGCACATCACTTTTAACTTAGAGATTGTTTCCCCTTGATCGAGTCTTTTTTTTTCTCTCTTTGCCTTAACCATTAGCCCTTGCATCCCCTGAACATAATCCTCTTTAGACGTTTATCAGGATCACAGAGTGGGCTGGTTGATAGGAAGAATGGTTGCTGGGGGATGTAGTAGCCATCTCTTCGGATCGAACCCATGTCCTCGGCACTGAAGGCGGAGGCCCTAACCGTTACACCGCAGATGCTGGCTGGCGTCGCTGTGATTAGCAAGGATAGAGAAATAAATGTCTTCTTCACACACTTTCTACTTATTTTTTCTTCTTTCAATTATATGTGTTTTTACGTCCCTCTGGGTACAATTTAGATCATTTAGGGGGTGGGCTTCCGACCCTGTCTGTGACAGCATCGCAGCAGAAAGACCGAGATACTCGATAAATATATTTCCTCTCCATCGGCAATCGAACTCGGGCCTTCTTGTTGAAACAGCGAAGCGCCTTGCCGCTACACCACAGTCGCTAGTAGTTAGACTTAGTACATGTACTTCGGTAACTTTTGAACTAAAATAGATGTCTTACACCGACGACTGGCCGCCGCACGCAGAAGACCTGAGTTCGATTCTCGTATTGGGATCTTTATATCGAGTACTGTCAAACCTTGTTGTTCTGAGAGAATGAGAATGGAGAGTGAGAAAGAGAGAGAGAGAGAGA